CTTTAATGACTTTAAAAATCAATAATTTTGTGCACAAATGTGAATGTATTTTGGAATTTCTTACTAATGTTTGGTTTATTTTTGTCCCTTAGAACATTGCACTTCAGTAAGATGCTTTCAGTAGCCATCAACAAGCTTCTGGCTGGATAATTAACTAATATATGTTGTCTTGTGGGCTCAAGCATGCCTATCTATTTCTTTCTCTCTGACTCTCAGGATTTGTAATTGCATTAGTCTGAGTACTTTCTCATGACAGGGCTTCTGTGATAGGATTAGTCGTCATGCTAGCACAAATCAACACTTGCACACAAATACACAAGCACAAGAAAACTGACTGCTATTCTTTCACTGTAGGTCAGCAGAAGAATAAGTACCATTATATTTTCAGGATTTTGGTATGTCTTTGTTTGTTTTTGTAATGAACACTTGGTTATCTTTGCATTGAGACTGGAAACAGCAAGTTAGTCTACCCAGATGTATCAAAAGCCACGTGCACCTGGCAAAACTGTGTCCTAAAATTGCTTCCAATTCAGCTAAACTGCATCTTCAGTAGCTCTTCTGGTGAAATGTATTTGTTGTTAACTGTTGGTTGTACAAATATATCTCTGAACCATGACTCTGATATTTATTTACATAAATCACAAGCTTGTGATTTGGTGTCATTGTAAAAGCCTATTTTAAATGAACTATTAATGATCTTTACTTCAACCTAATTGAGTTTGCAGTGTCAGCTGGTTTACTTTAAAGAACACTAAAGCCAAAATACATGGACGGAGGCATATTTCTTTTTTCAGTAGCATTGTCACTAATGTTTGGAGTTTCCACTTTTCTTCACTATGTTGCCTGTTCCATTAGGCAAAGCTGACTTCTGTTGACATGTGGTGGTTTGTGTAAAAATATCTTGATACCATCCAAGCCTATGGCATGTTTTGTTCATTGAAGTTGGATGAGGAAGTTACACTCAACATCACAGACTGATAAGATGTAACGGTGGGGAAGCATCTGATGGAAGGTTTGGTGAAGTAGAGGTGGGTTGACCTTTTGATTGATTTTTGGTGTGTACCAGATGGATTGTCATGGTGATAGTTATGCACACAGTGACACCCAGCAGATTTCTTCCTGAGTGAATCATGTTGTCAAATATAGACGCTTGTTGATTTTGACTGTGGGTAACACATGTTTAGAGACATTCAGCACAGCTCAAGTTGTACTGAACAGCTTTTTAATTCTTCTGCGTGCGTGCGTGTGTATGCATGCACACGTGTGTGTGTGTGTGTGTGTGTGTGTGTGTGTGTGTGTGTGTGTGTGTGTGTGTGTGTGTGTGTGTGTGTGTGTGTGTGTGTGTGTGTGTGTGTGTGTGTGTGTTAATGCCAACAAATCCTTTTAACACCACATGTGGTGAACGGTGCACAGATGGTCTCACTGTCACACACAACCTGCGGTCCCTGGCACACACCTTTTTGAAGCATTTGGAATGTCGTCTCACTCTCCCACATGTATCTGGATGATAAGCTGTTATCCATTTGGTTCTTCTTTTGGTCAAACATGTCAAACGTTGAGTATTTGGGATACAGCTCAGGAGGTAGAGCAGGTCATCTAATCAGAAGGTTGTTTTAATCCCCGGCTACACCAAATTATCCTTGGGCAAGATACTGAACCCTAAGTTGTGCTCTGATGCATCCATCAGAGTATGAATGTGTGTGAACGTTAGATAGAAAGCACTTAGAAAAAAGAAAGCATAGTTGTGTGAATGGGTTACTGAGGCAAGTTGTAAAAAAACTGTCCAATATTTCTGAATTAAAACTCAAAGGAAGAGTAGGCCAATAATGAATAATGTGAAAGACTCATTGCCAGTTATCACACATGATTCATTTCAGTTCTTGCTGCCAGTGGTGACACAACCAGTTCTAAATCATTTCTCACATGGTGATAGAGATTAATACACAGACACCAGACCGATACCAAAACCCAAACTTTTCTGGGTAATTTTAATTTTCATTGACCAAAGGTTAGAGATAAGTCCTTTGCTTTCTTTGCATCCAAAGTACGACAAACCTCTCAGTGCCTGTGTATTTATAACCATAACCCTGGCTGCACTCTTTTGATTACTCTTTCACTGAACACAACTATGAAACTAGCTCGCATTTGGGGAAAGCTATATTTTGCATTTCCTGGGTGTGTAAGTGTGATTACACGTGACAGCCATATTTACAAAATTAAAAGCAGAATAATTATTAACTGACCTCATTTCAAAGAAAACAGTTATGTTTCAGACACGTGGGAAATGTTTACACTTTTTCTTTCTGATAATATGTTTGTTTGGTTGTCTGTTTTTTCAAATTTGATGTTAAAAGAAAAGAAGTGATGGACTGTTAATTTTAGTATTATTAAGTATTGGGACAGTCATAGAGTTTTTGTGATGTTGCCTCTGTACCACCACCACAGCGGATTTTAGATCAAACAGTGAAGACTGAAGTGCAGAGTTTCAGCGTCATTTCAAAGAGTTAAACCAAAAGTATTGCATCAACTGCAGAGGAGATGTAGACTGTTTTTGTGATTTGGCACTATGTAAGTAAAGTTGAAGTGTAGTCCTCGATTTTCAGAGGACAAAACAAGATTTTAAAAGTAATTGCCCGATCACCAAATGTGGCATTTCTTTCCTTGAGACCTTTGAAATGAGGCCTTCACTGCTACCATGCTGAGTTGCTCCTTATTTGTGAGTCTCTCTGCCTTCAGTAACTGAAAAGGGAGTTTTAGACATTGACTTTATCTGTCCCTCACTGGGGAAAGTCACTTGTTAGTAGTACAGTAAGGTTCAGGAAGAAAAAAGTGAAATGGACATATATTAGAAAAATAAATAGGAAATTTAAATCAACTTTAAAAAACAAACAAAAACCAAAAAGGTTACCAAAAGATAAACGTGTGTGTGTGTGTGTGTGTGTGTGTGTGTGTGTGTGTGTGTGTGTGTGTGTGTGTGTGTGTGTGTGTGTGTGCGCGTGTGTACGGTGTTTTGATATTCCCTGTGTGGGGGTTGTGCAGTCTGACTGCTGTCAGGATGAAGGATTTGCAATAGTGCTCCATCCCACACAGTAGCTACAGCAATGATTTATCATGATTTATTATAATTTCACACTGGAAATTATAATACAGTTTTACTAGTTCTGTCAGCGTTAATCTCGTTAAAATGACGTTAATGCCATAACAGCATTAACGCGGCATACCTAAACGCGGTTAGCTTGTTAGCACGTTGACGCCGTGCAGCCCCACGCACGGGCGATCCGTGGTAACTCACTAACGGAGATTTGTCGCGTTAATGTTATGGCGTTAATGTCATTTTAACGAGATTAACGCTGACAGAACTAATCTTCACTGGAATTTTTTTTGTTTTTGTTTCGATGTTTCGTTTTAATGCACAACTCCGTAGTGCTCAGTTGTCACCATTTTAATGCAAGTGCATTTTCCACTTTGAACTAAAAGAATGATAACACAAGAGCAGCACTGATGAAACTGTCGATTACTAAAATATTAAATAGCTGCAGCTATTTAAGGATTTCCATTAGGTGGTAGTACCAGGTACTTTTTTTTTTTTTTTTAAGAGTAACTGAAGTCACTGTTCTGAGAAACTCTTGTGTTGCTTTTGCACTACGCTTTAGGTCAGTAATTCTTTTGGCAGCCATACATGCCAGTGTCAACATTGTCTCCACCATTTTTGACAGATGATGCTTCTTTTCTCTCCATCTCATGCTTTTGTCTCCACATAAACCTGGTATAAATTAATTTTGATTTCCAAGATTTCAGATTTTAGTTTTTCTTCAGAACTGTGAAGGATCTTTTAGATGTTTAGTTGTCAGTGTTTTTGTTGAAAAACTGTTGTCAGACTTTTTATTTACATGTTGCTCCTCAATACAGTTTTACAGTTCTGTTGCAGGTCTGTTCTTACTTGCAAATCTGGGTGAATTGCTTGTGTTGCCATCGTTTAGCACATCAGCGTGTTAGAGCTGCGCGTTAAATGAATCATCAAACCAAAATATTTGTGTAGGATTTTATTTAATAATTGAATTATTCATATAACTAGATGAATTGTTGTCATGCCTTTTACTGTTCTGATAAATTATTGTGTTTATTGCGCCCAGTTTCAAAGAACTGACAGGTTAAATGCCCAGGTGTTTCCTGTTGCATTGGTTCCTTACTCATGTACCTGCAGTGTAGGTCAATAGTTGCAGACTGGTTCTTGGTCATCATGTTAATTAATTGTTAATTAATTTTTAATTGTGAATCACAAGAGGCTCATTTTGGGGTCATATTTAAGGCCAAAAAAGAAGCACTATGAGTCATAGCACAAGAAACTGATTTGTACAATGTGTGGAAAATTGCACAGAAAGAGAGACATGTCACCAACAAAAAAGGGCTACATCCAATGAAAGAAAGTCTGTGTAGTTTCTGGAAAGCAGAGTACCTGGAGATCTGCATTTTATAGAGACAGGCTGATCTTGTATCTTTGCACAGGAAGCTGTGGGTTGATAGAAGTCTGTCTCTCTGGTTCTAAATAAAGCCGATGTAGCTAAAGCCGCTTTGCTGCATCAGCTATCAACAGAAGTTAAAGCAGCCTAGAACAGGGGAGTATTCCCAGTATGTAACTTGAAAGAATCAAGATCAACATAATAATACATTATCAAAATATCCTGGTTAGCCTAATCTTATTTGAGCATCCATCATGCAAGTTCCCCACTTTCAGAACCTCAAAGAGATGTGGTGTTTAGCTGCAGCACCTTTCACCTTCTTCCTCCTTTGCATGCTAGCAAAGTCACAATGCAATCTTCCAGTTCTATATACAAGTATTACTGTGCAACTCAACCACAGCTAAATGCGCTCATCACCTTTGAATGTTTTAATCTCAGATTCACGCCTGTCTCCAAGGAGATCAGTTTTGTATATTTGTAAAATGATGAAACTGTGTTTTAGTATGCTGATTATTCAGCTGCGCTTCCCTCTCTCTACAGCAGCCAGCTTCCATAATGGGATCTTTTCGGCGTCCCAGACCTCGATTTATGAGCTCTCCAGTTCTGTCAGACCTTACCCGTTTTCATGCAAGCACACCTGCTCTACAGATCTCCAACATCACTGTGTGGAACAGGTGAGCTGACTTCAAACAAGAAATCCCACAGTACTTTAGCTTGATCTTTGTGATCCATATTTAATTTACATTTAAAACCAAAGTAAGCCGAAAGTGACTGTAAGCTAAAATTTGAAGTGTTTTTGTTCTGTTGTAATTTAGTATTTTTATGAAGTCACTTTTCCATCAGCAAGTTTCATCTTCCCCTTTTATTCAAAGTCGGTAATTTATGTCAAAGGGCCTGCACTGACCTGTTACACTTCAAAATTTTAAATAGGCAGCAGTTAGAAGTTTCCACATATACTAACAAGTCAGGCTGGAATACAGAATATAACAAGAATTTGCCTGAATGGAGCACTACATTGGCTCAGTTCATTGGTATAAATATCAGACGTTATCAGTTCTAGACTGCACGACTCCATAATCCCAAAACAAAATGTACAGATATTATCTTACTTTTGTTCTACCTTTAGCACTGGGTTATGTTTTGTCATGTGTATAAACATTGGTTTTAAAAAAACAGAAAAATATAATAAGAGAAGAAGAGGTTATATTGAAAGTTTCAGAGGTTAGAAATTTTCTATTTGGTTTCATATCTGATTAGCTTCTAATTTTAGTGATTTAATTTATATTGGTAATGGCCTAATGAGGGCTGCGTGGTTATGTCTAGAGTTATTATCATGATAACAAGTCTTTTTTTATTTCCAGACTGACCATTTTCCTGAAACCTTTGTTACTCATGTTTGTGGTTGAATGAAAACAATTCTGCAAAGAAAAGTGGGCACAGTTCTTCCACAGCGACATGAAAGAGTCATTGCCGGTTGTTGCAAATGCTTGATTCCTGTTTTTGCAGCCAGAGCAGGAAGAACTGACTTACTTACTTACTTTTGATTAACAGATAGCTGATTAAATAATCTGTTGAGCCCCTTTGTCCCTGGGGGTTCATGGGCTGTGCCGCCAGGTCTGTGATTTAACTATAGACTTAACATAGCAGCACCTGGTATCCAGAGAAATGGCAGACTCTCACAAAACCATTTTTATGACCACCAAACACAGCTAAAACAACAAACAATCAACAACAGGTAGACAGATTCTGCGAAAAGATGTCAACACAAAGTGCGGATTCCCACATTCACCCAGTGATATTTACACGGATCTACACAGACAAACAATGTCTCTGCTGTCTTCACGGATATTTCAAAACCACAAGTTTTATCACACTCCAACCAAAATTCACTGAAAAAGCAGCAAAAGAAGACCAAAATTATGCTTCACGTTAGAATTTATGCTAATATTTTTTTAATCTTACCTTTTCTGTCTGGCTTCCAAAAAAAAAAAAAAAAAACTCAGATAAAAACACATTTCCTGCATAGCTCCCTCTCCCAGCTTCAAGAGTAGTTTCATAAATCACTCTTTTCTACCTTATTCGTTTGTTTATCCACAGATGCATTATGCACCAGTCTACCATTGTGTACAGTGGGGTGTCCGCTTTTTGTTTTACAAAAATGACCTAAGTTATACTGTTCAACAAAATTTTCAACTTTCACAGATGGTGCCAAATTGTTCCTATGCTTAGCTTAGCCTCTAATTAAACCTGTGTAACTTTGCTCTGTGTCACTTCAGCAGCATTGTTCTTTCCACAGGTAATGTTTATATGTTGATTCATTCAGTTTTTGGTCTACTCCAGCATATTTTCAAAGGGTTTATATGCTATAAAAGCTAAAAAAACAACAACAACATTAGTCCAGAAAAAGAATTTTTCATATTTTTTTCAGTGTTCCATCCTCAGTTATTTTGACACAATTGCATCTGATGTGATGCTTACATGATTATTTCTCACATGTGTTAGCTTTAATACCAAGATAGTTTTTTTGTTTTGTTTTGTTTTTTTTGAAAATGGAGTTTATAATTTTAGAGAAATATTCAATTCATTTTGGGCATGATGTTTTCAAGCAGGAACCCCAGAAAGCCCATAGGGTATTAAAGGTTAAAAGAAAAAAGAAAAACCCCTAAAGTATCTTGATGCGTGCTCTATTATCCAGGTAAGGAAATCCAAAAAGGTTTATTCTGCTCATCTGCAAATGTACTCTATATAAGGTTGGGGAAACCTGCATAGGCTGAGACTGAAGAAGTCACTTGGATGAATGATGAAATGTTTCTCCCACTGAAAACGCTACGTCCAGATGAACAGAATCAACTTTTTGAAAAGTATATGAGGAATGTGGAGGGCCTAGACATGGTCCCAACATAGCTTAAATTGCTCCTTTGCATTGACTCTTCATCCCTGTGGAACTGTACTAGAGGGTTGGAAATGTTGAGGGTGGTGGAGAATGCTTGGCTGGTTTGTCCCAACTAGGAGCATGAAGGAGCTGCACGCTGTACTAGTTGAAATCAAGTCAGAGGTAGGACTGCCAGTCTAGGACGGACTTGTAAATTTCTTCTAGGCATTCAGTTGTATTTAGGTTTGGTGACTGCTAAATGCCATAGCATGTGACTCACATCATTACCATCTGTTTCTTGCTATGATGGCAACTGCACTCACTGGCAGCAGTTGTTTTCTAGCAGGATCATGTGTGACATCACAAGACTGAAACTGCTCATAATTGCCTCAAAGAACTAGTAAAGAGCTCAAGACGGTCACCTTGGATTTACCTCTGAACTCTCATTGACATCTGAATTCAGATCAGTTAAATTTTACTAGCGCCAAATCACGACAAGAGTTGTCTCAAGGCATTTTATATTGTAAGGTCGAATAATACAATAATACAGAGAAATACTGAGAAAATGACCCCTTATGAGCAAGAACTTTTGCAACAGTGGAAAGAAAAAACTCCCTTTTAACAGGAAGAAACCTACAGCAAAACCAGGGAGGGGCGGCCAGTTGACTGGAGAGAAGGAAGACAGGACAAAGGCACACTGTGGAAGCGAGAGAGAGATTAGTAATAACTAATAATTAAATGCAGAGAGGTGTATAAACACACAATAAAGGGGGAGGGGGTTGTTGAGTGAAGAAGAAACACTCACTGCATCATGGGAAGTCCCCAGCAGCCTAGACCTATTTCAGCAACTAAGGCGGGGCTCTATCTAATATGCTTAACTATATGCTTTGTCAAAAGCTTTAAGCCTAATCTTAAAAATAGAGAGCACGTCTGTCTCCTGTGTCCCAAGTGGTGGCTGGTTCCACAGAAGAAGAGACTTGAAGCTGAAGGTTCTGCCCTATTCTGCTTTTATATATCCTAACCTTATCACACGATTTGCTGAAGAAGATTTGAAGGAGTCAGGAATTACCAAGAAGTGCATGAGGGTGCTGCAGGATATGCACTTAGAACAGCAAGACAGTGGTGTGATGTGTCGCTGGTGTAACAAATGGGACTGCATCAGGAATGGGGTTAACAAACAGATGTGGACCAGCAGGAGTTTTCATTGACTAGGAAGGGAGCCTGGAGAGGTGGAGGCATACTCTGATCAAGAGTAAAGAAGAGTGAGAGGGAAGAAAGGTTAATTTGCAAGAAACAGATGTAGAGGAGGAGGAAGCGGTAAACAATCCAAAGCAATGACTGGTGTACAAGAGAAATGAAGAGAGTACAGGCAGGGTGGAATGGGTGGAGAAAAGTATCAGGGGCGATTTGTGACAACAGGATGCCAACAAGGGTGAGTCAAATTCCTCGTTTGTGTGTACAAACTTATCCAAATAAAGGCTGTTCTGATTCTGCTGATTTGGTGGCAGTGCCAAAAGCGACCGGGATGGATAGGAATTAGGGCTGCACGCTTACGCATTTTGCATAAAATGAGAATCACGATTTTTTTGGCTTAGAATTGAGATCACGATTCTCTCACGATTTTCTTTTCCAGTATAAATATTTATTGCACTTATTAACTGCACATCAACTTCGTAACAGTTGAGACTGAACATAAAAACAATAAATAAACATAAAAACAACAAATGTCTCACGTTTTGTTGTTGCCGCAAAATGTTGTACTGCTTGAAATTCCGTCTCCACCGTTGCTCGACACTGCGTGTATAGAGCAGGTAGTGCAACAATAGAAAAATAGTTGCTGGACGGCACTGTGTAGCGTTTGTCTAGGGTGTTGATCATTTTCCTAAATCCCTCGTTTTGCACAGTGTTGATGGGAGCCATATCTTTGGTCAGATGATAAGTGATAGCCTCCGTAATTTCTTTGTGCCTGCGGGAGTTCGACGTGTATAGGGAAGCGCTGTATAAGGTTCCCGTTATTGATGTTTGGGTGGTTGACCGGGACGGATTTTCTCCTGTCACTTTCTCGTCATCCCTGACGTGCTCAACGTTGTTTTTTCCCTGCTAATTTTAGCATCACACGGCACAGCTTCTGTATCACGTGGTATAAGGCTCCGCCCTTGTCATTTGTTGAGCAGGAAGAGTGAGCGCTTGTTTTCATGCAGATTACGTCCCGGATCAAAATGCGATACAATCGTTGTCTTTTTTTTTTTTTTTCTTTTTTTTTAAAAAATCGTTGTCATTTGGAAATGAGATCGCACATAAGTATGAATCGAGATCGCGATTTTCTAACGATTAATCGTGCAGCTCTAATAGGAATCAAAATGACTCTTTCAGAGGGATGGCTCAGGTTGTGCAGTTTGGAGAAAGAACTGGAGATAAGATTGTTTCGAAATTATGCAGAAGAGCGACAGTGGAAAAGTACACAATCTTTCAGTTCTGAGGTTTTATGTATCAGAACAAAAAAATCATTGTGTCCTTCACAATTCGCACAGATTATTGAAATAACCTGAGATTAACACTTGACACATCTCATCATGCATTTTATTTTATTTTTTATTTTTTAAAAGAAACTAAGCCAAGGTGTAGATGCAGTGTGTGAAAGATGAAGTACACCACATGATGCAGTGGCCTGTATAACCACTTTTAACAGCAATAACTTGAAGTAATTTTTTTTTTTAATGATTTTATCAGTCTCTCACTTGGCATTCGCATACCTAAATGCTTCAGACTAACAATGCATTTTTTATGTCATTTCATAGAACT